TATTAAATAGTCATGCAAGTGTTTTTTATGTTAATAATAATAGCTACGTAAACCATCTAGAAGTCAACTGTTCTAAGTAGTAATTCAACCAGTTCTTACTTCTAGCTCAGAACATAGGTATTCCTTTTTATAATTTTATCTATCTATCTATCTGGTCTGCAGAGAGAAAAAAGAAAGAAAGAAAGGGGCCGGCACTGTGGCACAGTGGATTAACGCCCTGGCCTGAAGCACCGGCATCCCATATGGGTGCCGGTTCAAGTCCTGGCTGATCCTCTTCTGATTCAGCTCCCTGCTATGGCCTGGGAAAACAGTAGAAGATGGCCCAAGTCCTTGGGCCCCTGCACCCATGTGGGAGACCTGGACGAAGCTCCTGGCTCCTGGCTTTGGATTGGCGCAGCTCCAGCCGTTGTGGCCATCTGGGGAGTGAACCAGCGGATGGAAGACCTCTCTCTCTGTCTCTACCTCTCTCTGTAACTCTGTCTTTCAAATAAATAAAATAAATCTTTAAAAGAGAGAGAGAGAGAGAATATGGCGATAAATGGTAATAACAACCAGGCTGAAGCCAGGAACCAGGAATCCCATCTGTGTCACCCAGGAACATCAGGGGACAAAGCATTTTGGTCATCTAAACCTACTCCCAAGGCACATTAGCAGTGAGCTTATTTGGAAACAGAGCAGCCAGGACGGTGGTATGGCAGGTTCCAAGCAGGGGCTTAATCTGCTGCATCACATCCCTGGCATAAGATAGACATTCTTCTTCATCATAGGCCATGATGGAGAAGCTGAGGCAGAGAAAAAGATGGTACCTTTCCCAAGACTCCACTCTGGGAAATTGTGGAGCAGTTCTCAGCTCTGGGTTCTAGGGTCAGCACACAGCACAACACTATGCGGCCTTGTTTAGGATGCTACCCTCTTGTGTTGTATGTCCCGAGGAGGGGAAAACACATGTCATGTTCACACTGTGTATCCAGCACCTGGCATGATTGCTACCTTCCAAACTAAGTGTGTGTTTGTTGCAGAGGAGAAGTGTTCAAACAGCAAGAGTTTGAGGCCGATTTTATGGCACAGCAGGTGAAGTAACTGCTTTTGACACTAGCATCCCTCATCTGTGTACCTGTTGGAAAACAAGTTACCTCACTTCCTATTCAACTCTCTGTTACTTTGCCTGAGAAAGCAGCAGAAAATGATATAGGTGCTTGGGTCTGCACATCACATGGGAGACAAAGATAAAATTCCTGGCTTCTGACTTCAGCCTGGCTCAGAGCAACTACTGCAGGCATTTGGGGGAATGAACCCACAAATAAAAACTCTCTCTCTCTCTCTCTTCTCTCTCTCTCTCTCTCTTTCTCCTTCCATCCCTCACTCCCCCCTGCACCTTCCACTCTTTTTCTGCTACTCTGCCTTTCAAAGAAGTGTATCTTTTTTTAAAATAAGCACAAATTTGTTCCTACTTTTGGAAATTAGCATTATTTGGAAATTAAAACTATCAAATCTTGGAGAAGAGGTACTTTCTGTTATTCATTCAGCAATCAAATCTGTGGTGTTGGGTGAAAGAACACAGGTAAAATAGGCAATTTTTCCCTCTGTGGTATTTTTGTTAGGCTGATGAGCAAATCATCATGGATAAGATTCCTATTAGGGGCCAGCACTGTTGCCAGCTGAAGTGCCAACATCCCATATAGGTGCCAATTCAAGTCCAGACTGCTTCATTTCTGATCCAGTTCTCGTTATGACCTCGGAAAGCAGTGGAATGGATGACCTCTCTCTCTCTCACTTTCTCTCCCTCTCTCTCTCCCTCCCTCTCTCTCTCTCTCTCCCTCCCTACCTCCCTCTCTCTCTCAAATAAATATTTATTTATTTGAGAGGTAGAGTTACAGTGAGGGGGAGAGACAGGGAGAAAGGTCTTCCTTCTGATGGTTCACTCCCCAATTGGCCACAACAGCCGGAGCTGTGCAGATCCAAAGCCAAGAGCCAGGAGCTTCTTCCTGGTCTCCCATGTGGGTGCAGGGGCCCAAGCACTTGAGCCATCTTCTACTGGTTTCCCAGGCCACAGCAGAAAGCTGGATTGGAAGAGGATCAGCCAGGACTTGAACCGGCACCCATATGGGATGCTGGTGTCGCAGGCGGAGGATTAACCTACTGCGCCTTGGAGCCTACCCCAACCGAATGCATTTTTACTTCAGGATCTCTTGGATCATTCACCAGGAAGAGACTATACCCTGGTCCATGTAATGAGTTATGATCACCAAGGGTACATTTGAGTATTTTTTTTTTTTGACAGGCAGAGTAGACAGTGAGAGAGAGAGAGACAGAGAGAAAGGTCTTCCTTTTGCCGTTGGTTCACCCTCCAATGGCCGCCGCGGCCGGCGCGCTTCGGCCGGCACACTGTGCCTATCCGAAGGCAGGAGCCAGGTACTTCTCCTGGTCTCCCATGGGGTGCAGGGCCCAAGCACTTGGGCCATCCTCCACCGCACTTCCGGGCCACAGCAGAGAGCTGGCCTGGAAGAGGGGCAACCGGGACAGAATCCAGCGTCCCAACCGGGACTAGAACCCGGTGTGCCGGCGCCGCAAGGCGGAGGATTAGCCTACTGAGCCACAGCGCCGGCCACGTTTGGGTATGTTTAAAAGGATTGGAATCCTGTAACATTTGTACTTCTTGTTGAAAGTCCTCTCTTAGTATAGATGGAAATCAGAAAGGACAGTGCCACAGCACATGTATTCAAATACACGGATTTGTGCTAAATATCATCTGAGAGTGTAGAAAAGGGGAAGTCTGTGACAGAAGTTGAAGGAGAATAATCAATAAAACCTTGTAGTAGTTGTAGGGAGTAAGAAAATAGATCAGGGGCCTTTTCCTGGTTTCTGGCTTGAGTTATTGGATGATGATCCAATTTTCCCCAAACAAAATGCAAATGTAAGATTTGGAGTGAGTCTGTGTATCTCTCTTATTGTGTGTGTGTGTGTGTGCATGTGTGTGTGTGTGACTAGTTTAGTTTTTCTGTCTCTCTGTACAAGAGAATATCAATCTGAACTCATTATACTCTCCCAGAGAAATAGATTTCAATGTTAATAACATCTGGTTGGAAAGAAGGAATGCTTTGAGGACACTCTGAAAACCTGTGTTAAAATGGAAAGTTATGGGGCCAGCACCATGGCTCACTTGGTTAATCCTGTGCCTGCGGCACTGGCATCCCATATGGGCACTGGGTTCTAGTCCTGGTTGCTCCTCTTCCAGTCCAGCTCTCTGCTGTGGCCTGGGAAGGCAGTGAAGGATGGCCCAAGTGCTTGGGCCCCTGCACCCAGGTGGGAGACCAGGAGGAAGCACCTGGCTCCTGGCTTCGGATCAGCACAGTGCCAGCTGTAGTGGCCATTTGGGGGGTAAACCAACGGAAGGATGACCTTTCTCTCTGTCCCTCTCTCACTGTCTATAACTCTACCTGTCAAATAAAAAAAATGGAAAGTTAAGAATCTTTGACAGTTGTACTAGAAGAAAGAAACCACAAAGCAGAACTACAGCAAACAACAGTTCCTCTTTCCTAGCAGGAAGAACCTGCCCCCAGCATAAAGACATGAATCAGAAAAATACTGATTTGTCAGAGCCTATCATAAAGACACTTTCCTTATGGCATTGCGTCATTTGCACTTGGACTTGGGATCTGAGTCCAAGCAGCATGTTCTCTACTTAGGAACCCCTAAGAATGGGGAGTTTTGCCCTATTGGTCTTGAATCATGTATCAGTGGTTTGTGACCTATGGAAGAAAGCACTGCTTTAAAGGAGGTCTAGGAAATGATTTCAGTCTGTCAAAGAAAGATGCATGGAAAGAAAGTCTCCTTACTGCTGGCACAGACATTGGCACGTCTGGGTTTATGCCTATGAACACACATAACACACACAACGGGTCTTGTCTTCTATTTCTCCATCTCTCCCTTCGTTCCCTCTGTTCTTCCCTTTTTACTTGCTTTTCTCTCAACCTCAACCCCACCCCCACCCCCACCCCCAATCTCTCTGACACACACAAATGTACATACACAAACACAAAGAAATTTTGAAATAATAAACTCTCAAAGTACATACTGAATCTATACATGGCAAAACTGAAATGAAAACAACAGTGTTTTTGATCATTTATGAAATAATTATTAATCAATGGTGAATTTTACTGTTCTTTGGGACCTCTTGGTTTTAAAGATTTATTTATTTATTTATTTGAAAGCCATAGTCACAGTGAGAGAGGGAGAGACAGAAAGGGAGAAGAGAGATCTTCCATTTGCTGATTCACTCCCCAAGTGGCCACAGTGACCAGAGCTGGGACTGACTGAAGCCAGGACCTAGTAGCTTCTTCCAGATATCAAGATCAAGATTCTACAATATATTTTGTTATGTAAAAGCACAGAGGAAGTAAACATTAAGCAAACTCCACAAAACATCTAGTTAATCTGCCTTGTGTACTAGTTGTTACTATCTATTCTTTCATCAGCTCTTTGATTGCAACCATCTCCAGTTTGGGCTGTTCTGATCCTGCTTGGTCCAAACTGATGCAAGACACAGGTCCCTTCTGGGTTGCTGGGAACAGTGTACAGTCTGCACATTTCTGTGCCCAGACTTTTCCCATTTGAGCTCTTCCTGCACACACACTGTCCCATTATGACTGTGTGTTCCATTATGTTCTTTACAGTCAAGGTTATATCAGATTTTATTTCCCTCCAGCTTTTAAGCTGGATATGACCTTGCCCACCCTCTTTTTCTCTATACAAAGGTCAAATGATCTCTCTGTACTGCTTGGAAAGCAACTTAGTTGTGTGTGGTGGAATGAGAGGGCCATGCCAAGGTGGCCACTGGCAAGCGAGCATTAGTTACTCAGGAATGGCTTTGGAAACTGCCTGGCAACAGGCTGTGATTGGATGGCTTTGGAAACTGCCTGGCAGTCTGTGATTGGATGGGGCATAGACCGCCCCTTGACCAGATTGGCTGGTCTTGGCTATATAAGATGTAGTTTCAACTGAAATAAACGAGTGTGCGGGCTGCTCGCCTCAAGCCCGCTTTCACCCGACTCCCGGGGTCTGTGTGGTGACTCCGCGCCTCTCGCCCCCACCACGCTGTTCCTCTCAGAAACTAATCCACTGCAACATTGTTGAGAAATCAACGGCAACACACTACTTTGTGAAAAACTTCAACAATGGTAGTGGAGTAAATGAGGATGAAGGGTTTACAGGAACAGTGGAAGTCAGAAGAAAATAAGGACCATGTTGTACCACAGAAGCCAAGTGAGAAGGGCAATGCAAAGTGAGTAGATGTTAGTGTCAAATACTCTGAATTCAGGAATGGGTGTTCTGTGAACTAGTTAAGATGCTGCTTGGGATGCCTTCATCCCATCATGTCATATCTGGAGTTCAAGTCCCAACTCCGCTTTTGATTTCCAGCTTCCTGCCAGTGCACTCCCTGTGAGGCAGTGGGTGATGGTTCAAGCAGCTGGGTCCCTGTCACCTATGTGAGAGAACTAAGTTGAGTTCCAGGCTTTCACCTGGCCCACCCCCAGCTGCTGCATGCCTTTAGAGCATGAACCTTCAGATGAGAGATTTCTCTCTTAACTCCCATCTGCTGATTTCTGTCTCTCTACCTCTCAAAACAGACAAATAAATACAAATAAATAGCCCCACACTTTGAGTTCAGGTGGGAACAAGATTGAAAAATGTCCACTGAACACAGGTACAGAGAAGTCATTTGTGACTTTATGTCTTCAGGGAGTGATATCAACACTTGGAACAGGACAACTGTGAGGTACACGGGACTGTCCTAGGCACAGTTACTATATGTTGCCCTCCAATAAGCAAGCACCAGTAGCATCGCTCACCCTGGGCCATACTGAAAATATACAAGTGATAACCAATAAATACTGCCACACATTCCCAAATGTATCCTGAAGACTCAGCACTGCCTCTTGAAAAGCTGCTGGCTTGGGAAAATCTGGTTTGGTAGTTACAGGGCAGATGTCCACTGCAGGGACCTGAAGTAAGAACAGGGGAGTGCAGAATTAAACCAGATAAGACTTGGTGGAAATCTAGCAGAAGGAAGAAAAGTGACAGAGTAGTAGTAACTGGCTGGGGGCAATGGGAAGGGTTTTGGTTTTTTGTTTTGTTTTGTTTTGTTTTTAGATTTGTTTTAGGCCGGCACCACGGCTTAATAGGCTAATCCTCCACCTGCGGTGCCGGCACATCGGGTTCTAGTCCCGGTCAGGGTGCCGGATTCTGTCCCGGTTGCCCCTCTTCCAGGCCAGCTCTCTGCTGTGGCCAGGGAGTGCAGTGGAGAATGGCCCAAGTCCTTGGGCCCTGCACCCCATGGGAGACCAGGAGAAGCACCTGGCTCCTGCCTTCGGATCAGCGCAGTGCACTGGCCGCAGCGGCCATTGTGGGGTGAACCAACAGAAAAGGAAGACCTTTCTCTCTGTCTCTCTCTCTCACTGTCCAGTCTGCCTGTCAAAAAAAAAAAAAAAGGTTTGTTTTATTTATTCAAAAGGCAGAATTAGAGAGAGGCAGAGGCAGAGAAAGAGAGGGAGGTCTTCCATCCTCTGGTTCACTCCCCAAATGGGCACAATGACGAGCTGAACTGAACCTAAGCCAGGAGCCAGAAGCTTCTTCTGGGTCTCCCACGTGAGTGCAGAGGCCCAAGCACTTGGGCCATCTCCTACTGCTTTTCCAGGCTATAGCAGAGAGCTGGATGGGAAACAGAGCCACCAGGACTTGAACTGGCCCCAAGGAAGGGTTTTTTAAACACAGGATTCAGCCATGTTGAAGATCTAATGGAAATGAGCCAAAGGAAAGGAGAGCTTGAATATACAAAAGAAGGGAGAAGTGGTACCAGAAGGCAACTGAAGGGGTACAAGGCAAGCACAGGTGAAACAACTGTCGATAGACATGAGGCCTAACTCCTGCTTTGAAACAGCAACCTTAAGACAATGCTGAAGCATCTGTACTGGTTTCCTATTTCCTTTCTTACCATACGGACTGTTCTCTTTTTTTAAAATTTATTTTTATTTATTTGAAAGAGTTACAAAAAGAGGTAGAGACAGAGAGGTTTTCCATCCACTGGTTCACTCTCCAAATGGCTGGCATGGCTGGAGCTGAGCCGATCTGAAGTCAGGAGCCAAGAGCTTCTTCTGGGTCTCCCACATGGGTGCAGGGGCCCAAGGACTTGGGCCATCTTCTACTGCTTTCCCAGGCCACAGCAGAGAGCTTCGTCAGAAGAGGAGCAGCCAGGACTAGAACCAGCACCTAAATGGGATGCTGGTGCTTCAGGCCAGGGCTTTAACCCACTGTGCCACAGCACCTGCCCCCAGACTGTTTTCAACACAGCAGCCTGTATTATGTCTCTGCTCTAGCACTCTAATGGCTGCCCATCTCACTCAAACTGAAATCCAGTCTTCTTATAATGGTGTATCAGGAGTTGGGGGACATCCGGCCCATGGGCTGGGTAAGGTCTGCAAAATCTTTTGATCTGACCCTGCCAAGGAAACTACAGGTGGAAGTTGAAATTCAATAAATCTATAGCAGGCTAATTTTTTTTCCAGAGTTAGAGGAAAGGTTTATTGTCAGGCGGGGGAAGCCCAAAGGGCCATGGGGAGAGGGTGAGAGAGAGAGAGAGAGAGACGTGTTCAAGAACAGGTCCTGTTAAACCTTTGCCAGGGGGTGGGCAGGGAAGTAGGAGTAGCAAATCCCATTAGTGTGGTGGTGGAGTTGACACCTGTGGTTGGGCCATCTGGTCACCTGGCTTCCAGCAATGGCAGTGGAGGGAAGCCCAAGATGGCATCTGGGACATAGAAGGTGCCACAAATAACACTGTGCCATTTTAATAACATTCCCCCCTTTTGTTTTTATAAAGCAAGAGTTGTATTGGATTACATAAGCCCCAAAAGTCCAGAAGGGGTGCAAGAAAGATGATCTTTTTTTTTTTTTAATTTATTTGAGTTACACAAAGAGAGGAGAGGCAGAGAGAGTGAGAGAAAGGTCTTCTATCTGTTGGTTCACTCCCTAATTGGCAACAATGGCCAGAGCTGCGCCAATCCGAAGTCAGGACCCAGGAGCCTCCCCTAGGTCTCCCACGCGGGTGCAGAGGCCCAAGGACTTAGGCCATCTTCCACTGCTCTCCCAGGCCATAGCAGAGAGCTGGATTGAAAATGGAGCAGCCAGGACTAGAGCTGGTGCCCATTTGGGATGCTGGCACAATGATCTGCCTTTAGAGCTACTTCCTGCTGACATGGGGCAACAGGTACTCTCTGCTGGCATGGGGCGATGTCTCAAGCTGTTGTCTCCTGGGTGGAGAGCCGAGTAGATCCCTGTAGCAGCATTTGGTTGACCGAGCAGGCCAATTTTTAATTTGATAATTTTGTATGGCCCGTGAATGATTGAATGATGTTATAAATACCCAAATGGCCCTTGGCAGAAGAAAGGCTCCCCACTCTGGTAAGATCCTTTACAATCGGGTCTCCTGACCTTGTTTTCTAGCACTGCCTCCCTCGGTTATGACCCGCCAACCACAGAACTTTCCTGATTGTTCCTGCAGATAGGAAGCTCATTCCTGCTACAGCACCTTTACCTGGCGCTCTCTCTCCAGCCATCCACAAAGGTTTCCACTGTTTCACCTTCATGTGTTAAGTCAACTGTCACCTGTTCAATGAGTACTCTATTTAAAATTACTATCCCTCAATCCCACCTTTCCTCTCACTCCACTGTGGTCTATAGCACACGCTCCTTTCTAAGTTAGTTATTTTAGGACTGGAATATAAGCTCCAGGAGGGCAGAGTCCTGTTTGTATTGTTCAAAGACACATACCCAGCACACAGTAGGTGCACAATAAATGATGGCTGAGTAAACAAATGAGTATAGATAATTTGCATACTTCAAAAGCAGGAAGAAAGGGGCCAGCATTGTGGTGCAGCGGGCAGCCTATATTAGAGCTCTAGTTCAAATCCTGGGGGCTCCACTTCTGATCCAGTGCCCTGTTAACACACCTGGGAAAGTTCTTGGACCCCTACCACTCACATGAGAGACCCAGATGGAGTTCTAGGTTCCTGGCTTTGGCCTGACCCAGCCCCGACTGTCACAGAAGTGAACCAGTGGAGAGAAGATTTGTCTCTCACCCTCTCTCTGTTGCTCTGCCTTTCAAATGAATAAATCCTCAAAGTAAATTAATAAAATCAAAGCAGAAAGAAATTTCCATTTGGGACTTTTTGGGAGGAAGGAAGTGACATTTTCTGAGAGTGAAGGTCAAGAAGTGAGGGAGATAGGCTTAGGGAGAAAAGAAGTCTGAAAAACTTGGAGATTGCCTGGTGGCGCTGAGGGTCCATCTGATTGTGATGAACCAGAGACTGACAGGATCAGTCCAATCTACCATCTGATAGTCCACAGCACGTGCAATTGCTTAGAGACCCTGACACAGTGAACAGCTGAGTTAATTCAGGCTGAAGTTTTCCAGAGGCAGAGGGTTTAGGGGATGGCTCTCAACCCTGGCTAATCTTCAGTATCACCTGGAAGAAGTTTAAAAAAAAAATGGCCAGTTTGGTAAACCCAACTGTGACCATTACTGCCAACACATGAGTCAGTAAGTCTCACAGCATCTGCTGTTATTATCTACATTATCCCTGCCTGTGTGGGTTCACCATACACAGATGGGGAGGGGGTGCTGTTCTGGAGGTTTTTAGTCCCCTTTTCTAAATGGGAATTTTTGTTGCCATTGTCTTAGTCTTTCTCCTTAGAACACCTCACTCTACAAACCTGTGAACCCAAAGCCTCTTCTTTTTAGTCATGTATGAATATTGTAGTTAGTCAAAATACAAACTCCCCAAGAGCAGAGACCAAATGACTTAGTTTAATGCTTTATTTCTGAGACCTGATGATTGTGCTTTTTTAATACAATTTTTATGAATGAATCATTACCACCAGCAGTGGGGATTGTATTTTCTCAGTACTGTTATTTATCCAATTTAATTTCTTTTTCACCTGCAATGCTATATCCTGTCAAATTCAGACAGGAGGAGAAACAGCCTCTGAGACCTCAACACATTGCCCAAAGTCACACTGCTGGTGAGTCAAAATGAAGCCAGAGCTCAATTCTGATACTTAAACCCATGTTTTTAATCAATATGTTATACTGCATTTGATAGGAAGGTAAGGATGGAGACAAAAAGAGAAATGAGGAAGAAGTAGGTGGAAATTTCCGAGAATGCATCCTTATTTTGTGGCCCTTTGGCAACTGCAGCAAAATTTGTTATCAAGTCCCTTTCACAACTG